TTCAATGGCTGGGGGCAGTCCTAACTTGAAACATTCTGCAAGAAACGAACAGATAAAACGATGAAATATATAGACAATAAAAACGCATTGAAATCTTTTTACGAACAAGCAGGGCTTTTCATTCTCAAACTTTTGCTGTTGAGAATAAACCTCTTACGTAAATTATGGTATTTGTTTGAAACCGTTCTGTTGAAACTGCTTTAACTTTGACATTTGAAAGATTACTAACGTCTTCGAGGAGAAACCCCGTAAGGTTCGGAAATTTGTTTATAATCCGGACACTAACAACTCACAGTTTTTTTATCGCAGCGACTTAGGTAACATCTTGAATAAGAATATCGCTTACATTCGGGGCAGTCAATTTTTACTGATTGTTTACTAATGTCTATCATCACTTAATGTTTATTATCCTTTGGTGGAAGTGGGTCGTTTCCGTAACTATTTTTATTTTGAATTTTACCATCCTTTCCCAAAATGGTTAATTCCGATTGCTGATTTTTAGCAATCTCTTTTCCGATTTTCAAAGCATCTGCTTTGGTATCTGTTTTTGCAGTCAACTTACTGTTTCCTTGCCCTTTTACGCCCCAACCATCTTTGGTCGGCACAACGATTGATTTTTACCTTTTGTCATTGTTTATCTATTTAAAATTATCCGTTATTCTTGTTTTGTCTTCATTTTCCTTGTCGTTCTTATGATACAATTCAATGAATGTAATTTTTTGTTCGTTAGGAAAGTGAGCATAAATTAATCTCAATCCTGAGTTTACTCCTCTTCCTTTTAATGCCTTGCAAGCAATTTTCTTAACCTTGATGATACATGTTTCTAAACCCAAATTATCAATACGAAAACTAAACGGTGGTCGTTCATCGGGTGTAACTTCTAACACTCGTTTAACTACATCTAAATCGTCATTTAGCGTTCGGTATTTTTTTAAAAGGTTTTTCAAATCCTTTTTAAATTCGGTTAATTCGTCAAATGTCATTGTGCTTCAATTTCATCTCCATAGTTTCTTACAGAGAAAGGAGCATCTCTATAAAATGCTAATTCATAATTTATTTCTTCTCCTTCCTTTGAAGCAAGCCAAGGCATATCCTTATGAGAATAGTTGCTGATTGCAGCAGCAGACCAATCACTCATTTGTTCTATAACCCTGTCAATGATTTCCTTTTCACTTGCCTTTAATTCAGTTAAATCAGCTTTTTCTAAAGGCAAATAACGAGTTTGAGGATAACCGTGATATTCTGTTTTTACTCTTTGCAACTGACCTTTTTCAATCATTTGACCAATGATTGTATCTAATTTTTGAGGAACTGGACCATAAGGTAATTTGCGATATTTAGCACCAGTTAAATGTTCCTCATACAATTCATAATAATTGAAGTCCGAGAAATAGAGCAACCTGTAAAGAACCGTTTCGCCAACATTTGGCTTACCTGCACAGCGTTCAAGGATATACAATAAGACATTTTTGAACTTGCTGATTTGTAGTGTTGGCACAGAAATACGTTCTTCTTCTTTCTTTGCCTTTTTTTCTTCTTTTAGATCAACATCTTGACTTGCGGAAAAATCCTTAGACATAAAATCGTCCAATGAAAATTTTAAAATCAAAGACAATTTTTGCAGTTCAAGAATATCAACGCTTCTGTTTCCTAACTCAATTTGAGCCAAAGACGGTCGGGAAATTTTGACACTTTTAGCCAAATCTTCCTGAGACAACCCTTTCATTTTACGAAGTTCGGTTATCCTCTGACCTATTTGCTTTTGTGACAATTTTATGTTCATATTGATTTATGTTTCTCTGTTTAACGGGACAAAGATAAGCATTGTTTCAATACAAAACAAATATTTGTTTCAAATTAAAACATTTACTACATTTGACAAATGAAAAGCGAACGCAATTTGCAAGCACAATTAAAAACCGCACAAGCCGACACACGACCAAAGTTTTTAATAGAGCTTGCAAACCCAACCCAAGAGAAAAATTGTTTTTAAAAAATTTCCACCGCTTCAAAAAAAAATAAAGCACCCGACACACAAGCCAGACAAAAAAGCACTCGACAAATGACACAAACAGACGACATAATAAATGGTTGTGCCCCACGACAGACAAAAACGCCAGCCTATAACACGGGTTTGGCAAAAGTGGCGGTTCAGTGCTTAATCAAAGTTCAGGAATTTTTATTAACTTTGGTGCTTAAACTAAAGGAAGTGCATTTTAAACGCTTCTTCGCCAAGCCGCAAAACGTTAGCTGCAACCCTAAAAGACGACACACTAGAAATATATTTAAAATAGAAAATGAACAAATCAACAGTAGAAGAAATTAAAGAACGGTTTGACAATGATGTAGAAAGATTTTCAAATCTTGATACAGGACAACTTTCGACAATAGATGCAAAAGTTTCATTAGAGTTAATTACAGAGGCATCAAAAAGAATTGTTCCAAATGCTGAAAATTTATTGGACATTGGCTGTGGTGGTGGAAATTATTCACTGATGATGCTGACAAAAATCGCTAATCTAAATTGTACTTTGGTAGATTTAAGCAAACCTATGCTAGACAAAGCATTTGAAAGAGTATCTCAACAAACAAAAAATAATGTTACCATTTTACAAGGAGACATTCGTGAGGTTGAATTAAGGGAAAATCATTTTGACATTATTTTAGCAGGTGCTGTTTTACACCATTTAAGAGATGATAGAGATTGGGAAATGACGTTTAAAAAGCTTTTTAAATTACTCAAACCAGATGGTTGCTTAATGATTTCAGATTTAATAACACAAGACACAGAAATACTAAACGACTATACTTGGGAAAGGTATGGCGACTATTTAGAAGGTTTGAATGGTAAAGAATATCGTCAAAAGGTTTTAGACTATGTAGCAAAAGAAGACTCGCCAAGGTCAATGAATTATCAACTAGACCTAATGAAGCAAGTCGGTTTTAGAAAAGTCGAAATTTTGCATAAGAATATGTGCTTTGGTGCATTTGGCGGAATCAAGTAGCATAAAGATTGTTAAATAAAAAAGCCAGCAAGCAACATAGTATTTGCAAAAAAGCGGGTTCAGTGCTTAATCAAAGTTCAGGAATTTTTATTAACTTTGGTGCTTAAACTAAAGGAAGTGCATTTTAAACCGCTTCTTCGCCAAGCTGCAAACCGTTAGCGATAAGCATAAAAGACGACACATCTAAGAGACTATGACAATAGAATTAATACCTGTAATTGAAATCGGATATAACAATCAGGGCGTTCCGACACCAGACAAATACCCTTTTTGGGAATATCCTGAATTATGGGACAAATACAATTCGGAAAGTATTAAAAAAGCGGACTTCAAAGACGAGTTTAAACCATTTTTAGCAGGTTCTTCATTTTATAGACTGTCTGACATTACCGATAGTAACTTAACGAAACTTGTAATTGACCATACACAAGATTTGAGAGATGGAAAATACGAACGAGAACAAGCAAGTGCGTTGTTTGGTGGATACGTTCTTCGCATTGACGGACAAGACAAATATTTCCCACAATGTTGTGGCGACCTTGCAGACATACAGTATTGGGAGAGACTTTCAAACGGACAAAATTCATATTACGAAGGACATCCTGCACCTCAAATCAAATTTCAAGGCAAAGATATTGTTTTTGATTTTTCGGTGGACGAATTTGATGAACCTTTTCAACCAACACCGACAGAAACCACTTTATCAATAGACAGACTTGAGCTAAAAAAAGCAGTTGAAAAAGTTAAAACAGAAATTAACATATTTGAACAACGACTTGAAAGAATAAATCAAGCCGAAAAACTGAATATACACAACATTGGCGGACTATTAATTTGGGACAATGCAAACTATGAATAAAGAAAAACGAACGCACAACAGACGTTTGGCAAAAAAGCGGGTGACGTGCTTAAATGAAGCTTTGTGCTTCGTATCAAGTTCAGTGCTGGCAGAAAGTTTAGTGCTTCTAAATCGCCAACTTCTTGTAGCTGTAAAACGTTTTATTTGAAGTTTATTTAAAGGCAAAAAATTCAGTTGGATTTATCAATTATTCAAAAGGAGAGATTAATTCAGACGTTGACACTTCAAATGGATACAATCAAATATATAGAAATTATAGCTATATTAAAGATTTTGGCGAACTGAAAGAGCGAATACTTTCTGAGGTTAAAAAAAAGACTTTAGGAGAAAAAATTTATGAAGAGACTATTACAAAGATAGTTAACAATTATAATTAGTTACTTTTTGATTATCTTTGCACTATGAAATTAAAAATTTACATAGATACTTCTGTAATTGGTGGTTACTTTGACAAAGAATTTGACGAAGCTACCAAATTTTTTTTTGATAAAGTATTTGAAACAAATACCATTTTATTAGTTTCAAACCTTTTAGAGTTTGAACTAACTTCTGCACCTCAATTTATTAGAGATTTTTTTAAGAGTTTACCGAGTGATAAAATTCAAAGAATAGAATCATCAGAAGAAGCCCAAAATTTAGCTCAAATGTACATTGATGAAAAAATTGTAGGCAAAACGAGTTTATTGGATTGCCAACATATTGCAACTGCAACTTTAAATTATGCAGATGTTTTAGTAAGTTGGAATTTTAAACATATCGTAAATTTAATGAGAATAAAAGGATATAATTCAATAAATTTAAGAGAGGGTTATCATACATTAGAAATTAGAACACCAAAAGAAATATTTAAAGATGAAAACTAAAACAATAAAAAAAGAAAAGGATTTTGATTGTATAAAAATGAAAAATGATATACAAGCAAAATTATATGAACAAATTAAAAATTTAACATTCAAAGAACAAAGAGAGTATATCTCGGAAATGTTGAATTCAAATTTGGCGAAAACATAAAACCTCTACCAACAAGGTAATTGCAAAAAAGCGGGTTCAATGCTAAATTGAAAGTAAGTACTTCTAAATCCGCCACTACGCCAAGCTGCGAAACCGTTAGCTTCAATGGCTGGGGGCAGTCCTAACTTGAAACATTCTGCAAGAAACGAACAGATAAAACGATGAAATATATAGACAATAAAAACGCATTGAAATCTTTTTACGAACAAGCAGGGCTTTTCAAAGAGTTTGAAAACGACAACTCTTATTTGGAGAATGCATTTAATACCATAAACAAACTTTGGCAAGACAACTTTGACGAAATTGAAACTGTAAACTTTCTAATGATTGCAGAAGCTCCTCTTTGGGGGTAAGGTTCGGAAATTTGTTTATAATCCGGACACTAACAACTCACAGTTTTTTTATCGCAGCGACTTAGGTAACATCTTGAATAAGAATATCGCTTACATTCGGGGCAGTCAATTTTTACTGATTGTTTACTAATGTCTATCATCACTTAATGTTTATTATCCTTTGGTGGAAGTGGGTCGTTTCCGTAACTATTTTTATTTTGAATTTTACCATCCTTTCCCAAAATGGTTAATTCCGATTGCTGATTTTTAGCAATCTCTTTTCCGATTTTCAAAGCATCTGCTTTGGTATCTGTTTTTGCAGTCAACTTACTGTTTCCTTGCCCTTTTACGCCCCAACCATCTTTGGTCGGCACAACGATTGATTTTTACCTTTTGTCATTGTTTATCTATTTAAAATTATCCGTTATTCTTGTTTTGTCTTCATTTTCCTTGTCGTTCTTATGATACAATTCAATGAATGTAATTTTTTGTTCGTTAGGAAAGTGAGCATAAATTAATCTCAATCCTGAGTTTACTCCTCTTCCTTTTAATGCCTTGCAAGCAATTTTCTTAACCTTGATGATACATGTTTCTAAACCCAAATTATCAATACGAAAACTAAACGGTGGTCGTTCATCGGGTGTAACTTCTAACACTCGTTTAACTACATCTAAATCGTCATTTAGCGTTCGGTATTTTTTTAAAAGGTTTTTCAAATCCTTTTTAAATTCGGTTAATTCGTCAAATGTCATTGTGCTTCAATTTCATCTCCATAGTTTCTTACAGAGAAAGGAGCATCTCTATAAAATGCTAATTCATAATTTATTTCTTCTCCTTCCTTTGAAGCAAGCCAAGGCATATCNCAGATGGTTGCTTAATGATTTCAGATTTAATAACACAAGACACAGAAATACTAAACGACTATACTTGGGAAAGGTATGGCGACTATTTAGAAGGTTTGAATGGTAAAGAATATCGTCAAAAGGTTTTAGACTATGTAGCAAAAGAAGACTCGCCAAGGTCAATGAATTATCAACTAGACCTAATGAAGCAAGTCGGTTTTAGAAAAGTCGAAATTTTGCATAAGAATATGTGCTTTGGTGCATTTGGCGGAATCAAGTAGCATAAAGATTGTTAAATAAAAAAGCCAGCAAGCAACATAGTATTTGCAAAAAAGCGGGTTCAGTGCTTAACCAAAGTTCAGGTATTTTTAATAACTTTGGTGCTTAAACTAAAAGAAGTGCTTTTTAAACCGCTTCTTCGCAAATACCCGTCCGTTCAATGGCTGGGGGCAGTCCTAACTTGAAACATTCTGCAAGAAACGAACAGATAAAACGATGAAATATATAGACAATAAAAACGCATTGAAATCTTTTTACGAACAAGCAGGGCTTTTCAAAGAGTTTGAAAACGACAACTCTTATTTGGAGAATGCATTTAATACCATAAACAAACTTTGGCAAGACAACTTTGACGAAATTGAAACTGTAAACTTTCTAATGATTGCAGAAGCTCCTCTTTGGGGTAAGGTTCAGAAATTTGTTTACAATCCGGACACTAACAACTCACAGTTTTTTTATCGCAGCGACTTAGGTAACATCTTGAATAAGAATATCGCTGACAAACGGGAATTTCTAAAGGTTTGCAATGAGATTGGGTTGCTTGTGGTTGATATTTCACCTTTTCCACTAAATCCAAACGACACAGCTATAAATTATCGTAAGTTGGCAACAAAAGATTATAGGCGATTGGTAAGTATGACAATCCCAACCTACTTTGAGAAGAAAATAAAAGCCATTGCTACAAAAAAAGCAACTGACATAAAATCATTCTTTCGCTATGCCAGAGTGAAAAATAATTTTCAAGACCTAATTGCAAAAGTTTTGCTTGACAATAATTTCATAAAAAACACAAATGAAATTGGAGACATTTCCCAAAACGGTGGTGGCATTGATAAAAAGAAACTTGAACAAATAATTAAAACGAACTTTGAACTATCCGCATAAAAAAACACACCATGATAAAGAAAAATCTAACCATTAACGAAATTATTTGCCTGAACTACCACCAGGCATTTAAAGTTGATGAAGCTGGCTATGCTGACATTCTTAAGCAAATAAGAGACCATCATTTTGAAAAAGACTTGAAAAAGGAATAAGCGTTGACTTCCCTTCTTCTTAATGAAGCACTAATTTTAATAAATGGTGGAAAAGAAGTGATTGAAGCCTTTCAAAGAAAGTATGGTGTTGTTGATATTAAAAACATCCATTAACTGTTAAAGAAAAAGAACCTTTGACAGGAGTAGGGAAAATTGTAAAATAAGACGGGAAATGGCAGTCAGGTTAGTTAATATTCAAAATAATACCTCGTATAGATAAACTGCCTTTCCTATATTAAATTTTTTTTATGATTAATAAAAAGAAACTTTTAAATTAACATATAAATACACATTAAAAAAACAAGAATATGATACTTAATCAACAAGCATTTGAAAATGCCAAAAATCTAATCCAACAAGGAAAAAAAATAAAAAGTAATCATTGGACTCCTCCCACAACTGAGCAAGAAAATGAATATATAGACACTCATTCTATGCAAGCATATGCTCAATGGTTCTTAGGAATACGCGAAGAAGATAATCCTTCTACTAAACAAGCCTACGCTTTTCCTTTTACCAACGATTTTTCTCATGTAGATTTGGAAGGAATACGAGCCATTATCACACGTGCCGGGCAATATCATTATTCCGATATAGAACAAGCTGCCATAGAATTAAAAAAGTTAGCCGAATAACTTACAGTTAAAGATAAAACCTGCCCTCCCCTATCAAAATGTGATATTTTTTTTATTTCTTTCAAATTTTTCTTAATTTCGCAACCTTTATTTTATTTAGTATTATAAGAAGTTAGAAAATGAATACACAATTTCCTGAATATAAACAACTTGATTTAGTCAAAATAGCGGAAGAAGAACTCAATTTTTGGAAAGAAAATGATATTTTTGAGAAAAGTATTTCCTCTCGAGATGGTCAACCGCCTTATGTTTTTTATGAGGGACCGCCTTCTGCAAATGGTTTACCTGGCATTCATCATGTTTTGAGCCGGGCTATTAAAGATATTTTTTGTCGGTATCAAACTCTTCAGGGCAAACAAGTTAATCGGAAAGCCGGCTGGGATACACATGGTTTACCCATAGAGCTTGGTGTGGAGAAAGAACTCGGCATTACTAAAGAAGATATCGGTACCAAAATCTCTATTGAAGATTATAACAAAGCCTGTCGGGAAGCGGTTATGCGCTATACTGATGTATGGAACGACTTGACCGAAAAAATGGGTTATTGGGTGGATTTGGATAATCCGTATATTACCTACAAATCCAAATATATGGAGACGGTGTGGTGGTTATTAAAACAGATTTATGATAAAGGCTTAATCTATAAAGGTTATACTATTCAGCCTTATTCCCCGAAAGCCGGAACAGGTTTGTCTTCCCACGAACTCAATATGCCGGGCTGTTATAAAGATGTAACAGATACTACGATAGTAGCTCAATTTAAAGCAATAAAAAATTCAAATGAATTATTAAAAAATACAAATGGCGAAGTTTATTTCTTAGCATGGACGACTACCCCTTGGACTTTGCCTTCCAATACGGCTCTTACAGTGGGGAAAAACATTGATTATGTATTAGTTAGAACTTTTAACCCATATACTTTTAAGCCGATTAATGTTATTTTGGCTAAAAATTTAGTCTCTAAGCAATTCGGGAAAAATTATTTTGAAACTTCGGAAGATGCTGATTTTAAATCATTTAAAGAGGGAGATAAAAACATACCATATCAAATCATTGGGGAATATAAGGGGAAAGACTTAGTGGGCATAGAATATGAGCAATTATTACCATGGGCTACTCCTTATGAAAATCCTGAAAAGGCTTTCAGAGTTATAGACGGCGACTTTGTAACGACAGATGATGGAACGGGTATAGTTCATACAGCACCTACTTTTGGGGCAGATGATGCTAAAGTAGCTAAAGAACATGATGTACCACCGATGTTAGTCTTAGATGATAATCAAAATCCGGTTCCTTTAGTGGACTTACAAGGAAAATTCATAAAAAGTTTACCCGAAGGATTTGGCGGTAAATATGTCAAAAATGAGTATTATGAAGAAGGCAAAGCTCCGGAAAAGTCAATAGATGTTGAAATAGCCATTAAACTAAAAGAAGAAAACAAGGCTTTTAAGGTAGAAAAATATGTCCATAATTACCCTCATTGTTGGCGAACAGATAAACCTATTTTATATTATCCTTTAGATTCTTGGTTTATCAAGATAACAGACGTTCGGGACAAAATGTCGGAACTGAATGACACGATTAATTGGAAACCAAAAGCCACAGGCGAAGGACGGTTTGGGAATTGGTTAAGCAATGCCAACGATTGGAATTTATCACGGTCTCGTTATTGGGGTATTCCATTGCCAATTTGGCGAACAGAAGACGGCAAAGAAGAAATCATTATTGGTTCAATGGAACAACTTATGACCGAAATAAATCAATCCATACAAAAAGGAGTGATGAAAGAAAATCCTTTTTCGGACTTTAAACCGGGGGATTTTTCGGATGCTAATTATGAAAAAATAGATTTACATAAAAACTATGTAGACCAAATTGTTTTAGTTTCTAAGACAGGACAGCCTATGTATCGTGAAAGCGATTTGATAGATGTTTGGTTTGATAGTGGCTCTATGCCTTATGCACAGGTTCATTATCCGTTTAGTCAAACGGAAACTCCGAAAGACGGTTGGGCTGCGGATTTTATTTGCGAGGGAGTAGACCAAACCCGTGGTTGGTTTTATACGCTACATGCAATCGGGACTTTGGTATTTGATGATATTGCTTTTAAAAATGTGGTGTCAAATGGGTTGGTATTAGACAAAGACGGACAAAAAATGTCAAAACGATTAGGAAATGCTGTTGAACCGTTTGAGACCTTGGCTAAGTATGGTCCGGATGCCACCCGCTGGTACATGATAAGCAATGCACAGCCTTGGGAAAACTTAAAATTTGATTTGGATGGTATAGATGAAGTGCGGAGAAAATTTTTCGGAACACTTTATAATACTTATTCTTTTTTTGCTCTATATGCTAATGTAGACGGATTTAATAATTCTGAACCACAAATTCCGGTAGAAAAAAGACATGAATTAGACCGATGGATTATTTCCGAACTGCATACTTTAATAGAAAATGTAAATGATTATTATGCCGATTATGAACCTACTAAAGCAGCAAGATCTATTCAAGAGTTTGTATCGGATAATCTCAGTAATTGGTATGTTCGTTTAAGTCGCAGACGTTTCTGGAAAGGCGATTATTCGGAAGACAAAATAGCGGCCTATCAAACTTTATGGACTGTGTTAGAAACGGTTTCTATCTTAGCTTCTCCTATTGCACCATTTTTTATGGACAGATTATATCGGGATTTACATGCTATTTCGTCTCCAAATCAAACCAATTCCGTACATTTGGCTTATTTTCCAAAATCCGATAAATCATTGATTGATAAGGAATTGCAAAAACAGACTCATTTGGCTCAAAAAGCAACGAGTATGGTATTTTCTTTAAGAAAAAAAGAAAATATCAAGGTTCGCCAGCCTCTACAAAAAATCATTATTCCGGTCTTGGACAGCAAAATGAAACATAGATTGGAAGCCATCTCAGAGCTTATTAAACAGGAGGTTAATGTTAAAGACATTCAGTTATTAACCAATGAAGAAGCGTCTCATTTATTGGTCAAAAGTATAAAACCGAATTTTAAGACCTTAGGACCAAAATATGGACAGGACATTAAAGAAATCTCTAAAAAAACAGCTGAAATGCATCAAGACGATATATTGAGATTAGAACAAAATGGTGTGATTGAATTAGAATTACCACATAAAACCATAGAATTAAGCCTTGAAGATTTTGAGATTTCTACCAAAGATATACCGGGGTGGACAGTGGCATCGGACGGTAAATTGACTGTAGCATTGGATTTAACCTTAACCGATGAATTAAAATCGGAGGGCTATGCTCGAGAATTAGTGAACCGAATACAAAATATTCGTAAAGATATGGGCTTAGAGGTTGTTGATAAAATTAAGATAACTTACTTAGAATCAGAAAAGTTAAATGAAATAATTAATCAAAATAAACCATATATTTGCACCGAAACTCTAACGCAAGAAATAGTCCCCGCCCAAGAAGCACAAGGGACGGTTATTGATTTAGATGATTTTTCAACACAATTATTGATAGAAAAAATATAACGATTATGGAAGGAGATAAAGTTAGATATTCCGATGCAGATTTGTCGGAATTCAAAGTATTAATTGAAGATAAAATACAAAAAGCAGAAAAAGATTTATTATTGATAAAAGAAAGTTTTATGAATGATAAAAATAATGGAACAGATGACACCTCCCCTACTTTTAAGGCTTTTGAAGAAGGCTCAGAGACCATGAGTAAAGAACAAAATGCTATTTTAGCGGGCAGACAAGAGAAATTTATTCGCGATTTAAAAAATGCCTTATTAAGGATTGAAAATAAAACCTATGGCATTTGTCGGGTAACCGGGAAATTAATAGACAAAGAAAGATTGAAATTAGTTCCTCATGCTACTTTAAGTATTGAAGCTAAAAATATGCAACGATAGAATTATTTTTTAAGTGAAAAAAGTTTTAGGAATAGCTTTATTAATTATTATAATTGATCAAGCCTCAAAGATATATATCAAAACACATTTTGAATTAGGTCAAAGTATAGAAGTATTTAAGTGGTTCAGATTATCATTTGTAGAAAATCCGGGCATGGCTTATGGGGTTCAATTTGGGGGAGAAACAGGGAAAATAATATTGAGTATTTTGCGGTTATTTTTAATCGGTGCCATGATTTACTTTATTTTTAATTGGGTAAAAAAATCGCCATCAAAATATATTATTTTGCCCGCTTCCTTTATATTAGCAGGAGCCATAGGAAACTTAATTGATAACTTATTATATGGTATAATATTTAATTCAGGCACTACCTTTGACCCCTATTTAGGCGAATGGATAGGTTACTCCGGAATTTCCAAATTAAATTTTCAAGGCTATGCCCCCATTTTTGGAGGCTGTGTAGTGGATATGTTTTATTTTCCGTTATTTAATTATACTATTCCAAATTGGGTGCCGATTATTGGTGGAAATAGCGGTACATTTTTTAGCTATATCTTCAATGTAGCCGATTCTGCCATAACCATTGGCGGAATAATTCTATTTATTTTCAGAAATAAAATTTTCCCGAAAGGGTGGCTATAACCACTCAAAAACCAATAAATAAAAACTTCGTTATTTTTAAACCACTAAAAGTTTAGGCTAAATAGCGTAAAAAAAATAAGTAAATTTTTAATAAAAATTTATCCTGTTTTCAATAAAAATAATTAATTTTGGGGTTTAATTAAGTAATAAGATGAAACTAACGAGAGCAAAAGAGTCTAAACTTCCGAAATTAAATTGGGAAGAAGTGAGTTTCGGTAATCATTTTACCGACTATATGTTAATCAGTAATTATGAAAATGGGAAATGGAGCGAGCCGGAAATCGTCCCTTTTGATTCGGTCGCATTTCACCCCTCTATTATGTCATTACACTATGGACAGGCTTTTTTTGAAGGTATGAAAGCCTATAAAGATAAGGCAGGCGATGTATTTTTATTTCGTCCTGATAAAAATTTTGAACGAATGAATGCTTCAGCACATAGGCTAAATATGCCGGAATTACCCAAAGAAATATTTTTAGATGGCATGATGGCATGGTTAGATGTAGAAAGGGACTGGGTGCCTAATGAACCCGGAAAAGCTTTGTATATCCGCCCTGTTATGTTTGCTTCCGAAGAAATGATTTTGGCCCGCTCTGCTAATAAATATAGCTTTATTATTATGGGATGTGTGGTTCGGGATTATTATAGTCAGCCCTTAAAAGTAAAAATAGAAAAAAGATTTACCCGAGCAGCTCAAGGAGGCGTAGGGAATGCAAAAGCTGCCGGAAATTATGCCGCTTCTTTTTATCCTACCAATTTAGCCAAAGATGCCGGATTTGACCAAATTATATGGACAGATGGTATTGAGCACGAATTTTTTGAAGAGTGTGGCACTATGAATGTTATGGTTAGAATAGGCGATAAAATCATTACTCCTCCTCTCTCCGATAGTATCTTGAAAGGTGTGACAAGAGATAGTTTAATTCAAATGGCAAGGAGTAAAGGCATAGAAGTAGAAGAAAGACCTATTTCCGTTCAAGAGGTGTATGAAGCCCATAAAAATGGAACCTTAAAAGAAGTTTTCGGGTGTGGTACAGCCGTAGTAGTCAATAGATTTCATGCTATCGGATATCCTCAAGAAACTTTAGAACTCCCTTTATTACCGGATGATGAGAGTTACCCTGTTCAGTTCAAAAAAGAATTAGTCGGGATTCAAATGAACCAAATACCAGATCCATTTGGGTGGAGAAAAAAAGTAGAAGAAAACTTAATAGAGGCTTAATGGCGATTATTGCACCGTCTATTTTATCGGCAGATTTCGGGAACCTAAAAAAAGATATTGAAATGGTTAATCAATCTAAAGCCGATTGGTTTCATATTGATGTGATGGACGGTGTATTTGTGCCTAATATTTCTTTTGGCTTTCCTGTCATAGATTATATTAAAAAGGAAGCTAAAAAACCTTTGGATGTCCATTTGATGATTGTTCAGCCCGAACGTTATCTTAAGGCTTTCAAGGAAGCCGGAGCAGATGTCTTGACCGTTCATTATGAGGCGTGTACACATTTACACCGTACCGTTCAGGAAATCAAAGAATTAGGTATGAAAGCAGGGGTTTCCATTAATCCGCACACCAATATCAATGTATTGGAAGATGTTATCGGCGACTTAGATTTAGTGTTAATTATGAGTGTTAATCCAGGGTTTGGGGGGCAAAAATTTATTGAAAACACTTATTCCAAGCTCCATCAATTAACCGAATTAATAACTGAAAAAAATATAAATCCCATTATAGAAATAGATGGTGGCGTATCATTAAACAATGCTCAAAAACTCATAAACTGTGGAGCAACTGCTTTAGTGGCAGGTAATGCTATTTTTAATTCAGACAATCCTCAAGAAACTATTTCGGAGTTTAAATCCATTTCTTAACCCATGAATATTTTTAAGCAATTAAAATGGTTAAAAAAGAAATACCGTTGGAATAAAGAATATACTAAAGGGAAATGGGAGTTTATGAAGTCTAATGAAGAACATAATAGGTATCTTCAAATGGCAAAATGGATAAAAGACGAAACCCCTTTTAAGTCTCCTGATATTTTAGACCTTGGCTGTGGAGAAGGGTTTTTATTAAATTTTTTAAGCTCGGAAGATTATCGTCAATACTATGGGGTAGATTTTTCCGAAAATGCCATTCAAAAAGCTAAACAATCCGATTATAAAAATGCCGGTTTTGAAGTGGGCGATTTACATCATTTCCAACCGTCACAAACATTTGACATTATTGTCCTCAATGAAGTATTATATTATTTGGAGAATCCGGTGGAAGAATTAAAAAGATTTTCTACTTATCTAAATCCGGATGGTTATATTCTTTTATCTCTCTATAAGGATAAACAAGAATTATGGGACGCACTATGCAAGGAATTTAAACTCATTAAGCAAGAAAAAATAATCGGAGGAAAAGATAGGGTTTGGGATATGGGCATACTAAAAATAGATTGAGATGAATTATAAAAAAATTTATTTTATTATAAATCCTAATTCCGGAAAGAAGAAAGGACAGGAATTTTATGACTACTTATTGGAGCATAATGAGTCAAATTATACTATTTTATTGACTTCTAAAGAGAAAGAGGCAACAGAATTGGCGAAAAATGCTTTAAAAAATAGGGCAGATATGGTGGTAAGTTGTGGCGGAGATGGCACTTTTAATGAAGTAGCTTCTGCCTTAGTTCATAGCGGAGTGCCATTGGGGATTATCCCGATAGGTTCCGGTAATGGTTTAGCCAGACAATTAGGCATTCCTCTGGATTATAAAAAAGCATTTCAAAATCTGTGGACTTATCAACCATTTGTGATTGATGTAGGTAAAATAAATGAATTATATTTTTTCAGTAATGCCGGCATTGGCTTAGATGCCGAAATCATTTCAGATTTTTCTTCTCAAAAAAAACGTGGATTAATCGCTTATGCTAAAAGTAGTTTTTATAAAACTTTTTCCTATCAACCGGTTCATTTAAAATTAACCTCTCAAAAAACTAATTTTGAGGGATTTATCCAACTCCTGAATTTTGCAAATTGCAATCAAATAGGCTATGATTTTTCTTTTTCTCCAAAATCCGAATTAGATGACGGAGAACTTAATATGTTATTAGTTAAATCCTTACATTTATTACAAGTTCCTTTTTTTTCAAGTTATTTTTTATTGAAAAAATTACCTCATTTTCCTAAATCTCTTTCGGAAGAAGGTAAAAAATGGAGCATAGAAATATTAGATAACACCCATTTTATTCAAATAGATGGAGAAAGTGTCCAAATAAGTTCTAAGTTACTTGAAGTAAGTGTTTTACCAAAGGCATTAACGGTTTTGTGTTAATCACATTCCTTGTCCATCTTTTATTTATTAAAAAATATGAAAATATTTTTATAAACTTATTTGTTCAGTTAATAAATAAGATATAATTTTGTTTTTAACAATAAATAAATAATTATCATAATGGAAAACAACATTAAAGAATTTATGAATCAAGTAAGTTCTAAGAACCCTAATGAGCCTGAATTTTTACAAGCCGTTCAAGAAGTAGCAGAAACGGTAATTCCTTTCATACAAAAGAATGACAAGTATAATAATAAAATGTTATTAGAAAGAATGGTTGAACCGGAAAGAGTATTTTTGTTTCGGGTAACTTGGTTAGATGATGCCGGTAATATTCAGGTTAATAAAGGTTATAGGATTCAAATGAACTCTGCAATCGGACCATATAAAGGCGGTTTAAGATTTCATCCTTCGGTTAATTTAAGTATATTAAAGTTCTTAGCCTTTGAACAAACATTTAAAAATAGTTTAACCACTCTGCCAATGGGTGGTGGTAAAGGAGGTTCTAATTTTGACCCAAAAGGAAAGTCAGACAATGAAATCATGAAATTTTGTCAATCCTTTATGACAGAGTTAAGTAAATATATTGGAGCTGATACAGATGTACCTGCCGGAGATATAGGCGTAGGTGGAAGAGAAATAGGTTATTTATTCGGTCAATATAAACGATTAAGAGATGAATTTACAGGGGTTTTAACCGGTAAAGGTCTTTCTTACGGAGGTTCATTAATGAGACCTGAAGCAACCGGCTATGGCACAGTATATTTTGCCCAGAATATGTTACAAACCAAAGGTGATTCATTTTCAGGGAAAACCGTAGTCATTTCCGGCTCTGGAAATGTAGCTCAATATGCCTGTCAAAAAGCAACCGAATTAGGGGCTAAAGTGGTAACTTTATCAGATTCTTCAGGCTATATTTATGATGCCGATGGTATTAATGCAGAAAAATTAGCTTTTGTTATGGAGTTAAAAAACGTAACAAGAGGCAGAATAAGTGAGTATATTAAAAAATACTCTTCTGCAAAATTTATTAGTGGTTCAAGACCATGGGAAGTAAAATGTGATATTGCATTGCCTTGTGCCACTCAAAATGAATTAAATGAAGATGAAGCAAAAGTCTTAATTAAAAACGGCTGTATTTGTATAGCTGAGGGTGCAAATATGCCTTCTACCATAGAAGCCGTTGAAATATTCTTAAAGGCTAAAATTTTATATGCTCCCGGAAAAGCATCTAATGCAGGAGGGGTTGCAACTTCCGGTTTAGAAATGTCTCAAAACTCAATGAGATTAAGCTGGACAGCGGAAGAAGTAGATGCTAAACTAAAAGATATTATGGCTAATATTCATCAAGTTTGCGTAGAGTACGGAAAAGATAAAACAGGCTTTGTAAATTATGTGCAAGGAGCTAATATCGGAGGTTTTGTAAAAGTAGCTGATGCAATGTTAGCTCAAGGAGTGGTATAAAATACACATTTTCCTTTAATGAAATATAAATTAAAAGCCTCTCTAAATTATTAAATTTAGAGAGGCTTTTTTATGTTAGGAAAATATCTATTTTATATATAGTCTACCTAATTTATTCTTACTTTTTCTTGAACCATATACTATTATTTCATTATCGGTTTTTCTATAATTAATGAGCGGTCTCACAACTAATTGCTCTGTTTTTACTTGTTCAGAATCTACTCTACTCATTTTACCCGTTTTATCAAATACAAAAACAGAGGGTGTGCTATTATTATAATTCCCCCAATCTTTTACCTCATCTATATTGGTAATGCCTTTATTTTTTTCGCCATCATTAATAATCACTTTTAATACTCCGTTTTTATAGATAGGGAGGCAACTCATATATTCCGGTCCTCTATTTAAAAACGTAATTGGAACTGATACGCCCATCCCAACTCCAAATGAACCGCCTGAGAATGCATACCCTCCAACGCTTAAACCAACTGTAGTGATACTCACATCTTGTTCTTTCGGTAAAACATTAGTCCATGACAATGAACCATCAGGATTTAAAGAAGTTACTATAATTTCATTTTTAATAATATTATATGTATTTACGGAAACCCCAAGTCCTCCTATGCCTATGCCCCCACCTGTTCCTTGACTAGCTACCGAATATTCGGAAAGTATAATTAACCCTCCGTCCTCTTTTTCTATGGTATAGATATTATTATAATAAGGATATAAGTCTTTTCCTTTTTTAGCTTTTCTTTCACCTATTAATTTCACTTTTGTATTATAATCAAATTCACTAAAAACCACATCTTTTGAAGTATTATTTAATATATCAACAGATATCATATAAATCCCCTCCAATGTATATAATGCTTTTCCTTTTGCATTAAGGTCTGAATAGAATCCGGTTAATTGTAAAAAATCATTATGAGTAGCCATAATATCACAATCAACTACTTTTTTGCCTTTAAAATTTATATTGACATTTTCTTTTTTATAACCTGTATTGTTTTTATATATATTAACATAGAAATTTTGAACCGTATTTTTATTTTCATAATAGTTTTCATTAATAACAATAAATACATCATCTTTATTATTAACATCAAAATCAGCAATATTAAAATTTAGTTTTTTCTTGGAGTCATCAAATTTAACAATTTCAGAAGCATCCATCAATGGTTTTAATAATTTATCAAATAATTTCACTTCATATTTTACAGCATCCTGTTTTTTTAGAGTAGCTGTATGGAGAATAAGTAATGTTTTTTCATCAGGGCTTTGTTTAAAGTAAAATGCACCTTTTAAAGCTCTTTTTTCAACCTCACTTTCAAATAAAACAATTCCATTTTGATCCATTTTACCGTCCGGACTTAATTTAAAACCCAATAAATTAAACGTTTTAGTTTTATTGGTATAAGTACTGCCTATGATAT